ACTGGCTTCACTGACTGGTTTTCTGCCCAGAGGCTGGGTTTCATCAGGTCTTTACTCTGATGACACTCAGTTATACCTCTTCACCATACAATGTGATTTTTCTACTGGTTTTCTGTTGACAACTTATGCAACATCCAGTTTAACAACACAGAAGACCGCCATTATCACCATTTCCACTCCCTCATCATTGACTTCTTTCTCCTTTTTTTAAACACAGTTTTACGTTAAGTCAGACCATCTAAAACCTCTGAAATCAACACTGGTTGGGAAACATTTATCTTTACAGACAGTGAAATACTGGAAGATTTTTGCCTATTTGGACATTCTCTGGATAGACAAAAGGTTTCATCATGTGAGTTCATGGAAACAGAAGTCAAAAATTTAGTACATGCTGTAAGTCACCTGTTTTTTTTAAAACTGTAAATCAAGTGATTCTGGAGAAAAAACCAAGCAAAGGTTCTCTACCAGAAGCTTCTGGAACTTGATTGAATTTCCAAATACCAGTATTTCTGTCCACCTGGCAAAACCTGTTGTAGCTACAACTAATTCTCAGAGATGTAAATCCAACCTTGCTGGAATTAGGATTGGTCTCTACTATCACAGTAAACTGTCGGTAATTCAGTTTCGTCAACAGTAAACACAGTGGGTATGAAAAGGCATCACACTTTATTCTTTGCTTTCAGACTTACGGTCCACAGGAGTTGCTTTATCCCCATTGGCCAAAACAAGGGAAGTCTATACTAACTCATATTTTTGTGTATTGTGTATGGGATTAAGGGGATATAGTCTTCTTGCCAAATCATCACTAAGGTGTTAATCAGAATTTACCACTTGCTTTAAGAATAAGTTTTACTGGTGATAAAAGATTAATTTTGATTCGTTAATGATGTTTGGTGAATATTTCTTTTATCCTAGACAGCAGTGATAAAGAGAAGTAAGTGACTATTTTGGTAACTGGTACAACCGATGGAGTGATGGATCTTTTTATTACCTGTCACTGTCTTGGCACTTGTCCTGCATTAACTACCAATTGTGCTGCACCTTATATTTGTAACCCTTTTGTCCATATCATTAAATTCTTTCATGATCTCAAAGTCATTATCTCTGTAACCTCCTCCAAACTAACTCTGATCCTCTGACCTCTACTGCATCATCAGACCACTGGTGGTTTTGTTTTCCGCAAATTCGGTTCCACATTTGTGAGTCTCTCTTTAAATCCCTCTACTTCACCACCATATTATTTTTTTTAAAAATTCGCATCCCCAATGAAATTTTTGTTAATCCTTTCCTAACACTTGATACTTTGGCTAAGTTTTGGTTTCTGTCATGTCTCTATGAAGCACTTTAAGATGTTTATGCTAAAGGCCCTGTTTAAATATAAATAGTTATTGCTCATTTAATAAAGGTAAAGCTTTATGACATGATTGGGGCTTTGCTTTTCCTAAATAATTTTACTTTCATTTAGATAAAATGGCAACACACCAATTACATTTGGCTCCTGTAATTAAAAACACATACACTAATGAATCAATCGCACATTTTATCTCAGCAAGTTAGTATTGTAAATTATTTTGATCAACCTGTTCGGACATGTTAGGAGACACCTCTGGAACAGTTGCAATGTGAAACCAGACTATTTGGCCCAGAGGTAGGGACAAAGGTCCTAAATAAGTAATGTAGAATGCAATAAATTGCCTCTGGTACTAGCAATCAAGGCTCTTGTTTTCAATTCAGGAAACTCAAATATGAGTCCAGGCCAGCAATCAATAAAATATGTTATTTTTCTTAAATTGTTGGTAAGAGACACTCAAACTGCATTCTGGTAATCTCAGTTTAATCTGAGAGAATAGAACTTTTTTTAAAAAAAGTTCTGTCCTAATTTATCATTCACTAAGGTGGGCCATATCTCTTAGCTACAATTGCAACAGTAAATGCAAGATCTCCGTGAGTAGCTAGCAAAAAGATATAAAATCCACAAACTTTTCCCCAAAAATAATTATGAACCTGCATCAATGCTATTTAATCCTTCAGAGAAACATTCAGGATAAAGAGTTTTAGAATTCATTTTTTCTTAATTTGTACAGATTAAATTAATTACATTTTACATTTTGTGATTTTGATTTCATTGCCAATTGAAAGGGAATTGTAAATATTGGTGTTAGACAGGACGATAATATACTATATCCATAAGATGATAGAAAACTGTTCCCCAGTGACTCTATGGTACAGCCATTGATTAATTTAGAACCTAGCCATACAATGAATAAGGAAGTCTTAAACTCAATTCCCAAGCTGTGTTAAATTAGCTAATCTCAGTCATGACAAAGATATGGATGCTTAAACTTTCCATAGCACTCTTGGAGAGAAAGACTGAAAACAGAAAAATAAACAGCCAAAGCTTCAGTTCCTAATCCATGTCCAATGATTTCAGCTAGAAGTTGTACCAGTACGAACCTGCAGTAAAGACAGGTGCAAGCACAGCTGTGAAGCCCTTGGGTTTTAAGATAAACTGACAATATTCAATGTCTAGCTTGGGTCAAGAGCACCAGAGCAGCCAGTTTCACAGTATCAGAGGAGAATTATTGGAGGTTCAAAGAAAGTACACAAATAACAAACACAACAGACAGGAAGCAAAAATAAAAGGATGTACAGTATTCTAAACTTGTACACATATCTTCAATCTAACTCATAGCAGAACAGCAGAGATTCAGCATGTCAGTCAGGATACCTGTTGTTGGTTCACAAATGCAAACTACAATTTCACTGCCTGGATTAATTCAGTTCCAAAATAAGAAAGTTCACAGAGTGCACCAAAGAAAAAAAAGAGGATAAATCATTTGGTGCTTATGGGTTCATTTATTCAGGCAGCTCCTGACCCAAGCGGTCATAAGAATTCATTTGGATGTAAATTTTTCAGCCTGTCTGCTAAATAGGCCAAACCACTAAACTGATGTGTGAGCTGAACCAAATCAAATCATAAAAATGTTCAAATATACTTAGATCGCTTCCCAGTCTTCAAAAAAAAATTCTAAATAATACATTTATTACATATTGCATTCACAGAAGTCTCGTTGTACTCCCTACTTTACTTTGAAGATGGTATTGATTAAATCCTCAAGTTGTAGAAAAAGCCCAGCCAACATACTGTTGCTTGGCCTACAGATTTTCTAACCAGTGGATTTTCTGACATATTTTAGAAGTTGATAAATATTCTTAAAATATATGCAGTATTCAAACAATTTTTCTTAGAAAGGCATATATTAGAAACAAAAATGTTACTAAGCTTGCTAAAATGCTGAGACATGCAATTACCTCTCAATCTTTTTCTGGCATCTTCTGCCACTCAGTCTCTACACTGGACTGAATTTCAACACAAGAAAACAAAACTGTATTTTCTTTTCAGTTCCAACATCTGAATCATTCTGTGTTAATCCGTCTATTTACTTTGTGTGTGTGCACAGCCCAATACTTGGCTCCAACAGTCCCTGTCCTTGGTTCTTAGTAAAATGCATTGCCAAATCTCTCTTTGTTCAGGCAGATTTTCAAAGTGTTCTTTGCAAACAGTCTACTTGAATTACAGATTGAGCCACCTTTTGTAGATGACAAGAAATTACTTTCAATGATTTTGGAAGAACCTGCTTGATTTGTGGTAGCACAGTATGTAGTCACAATACATTGTAGATTTGTCTGTTTCAAGATGCAATGATGTGGAAAACTGACAAACAGCAAGTCAGGCCAATGGGAGAAAGGAAAAATAAAAGGGCTCAACCCAGGAAGTTACTTTCACAGCAACTGGCTTTAAAACAGGATTAATAAGAATGGAGGTAGTTGTATGAACTGGGAAGAAAAAAAAACTTCCATACAGTTATCCTCACTAAAACAAGTGCCTGCAAAAGTAGTATTCTCTGATTCCAGTTTCCAGAAATTTGAGTTATAAGCAGAGGCTAACAAAGTTAGTCTTGTTTGTTTTGGAAAGGATACTGAGGCAACTTGAAGATTACTTACGAAGACAATTCACATTGAAGATCCAACCAATTGTTTTTTTTAACAACAGCAAAGGTTTCAAATATCAGGGAGGTGAAACTTAAAAGAAATAAACAGCCTAACAGTAACAAGCAGAAAGAACAAATGGACTCAACAGACAATAAAGGGACAAGAACATTGTTGAAACAAAACAGTTTCAAGTTTGTCTTGGCAGGGAAGAATACTGCGGCAGTTAAGATCCAAAATTTGATTCTCCAGTGCACTAAAATCAAGCACTTCCAAGACCAGCAGAGGCAGCTGCGGCAGATACTGAGCTTTGCAAACAAAATTTTGAAAGCCAACTGTCCTTGGAACTGAGCCTGCTGCAAATTCCTTGCAGAGGCATCAAGAACTCCTTGACGGATTTTACAATCAAAACAGATGTAACTTTCCTTTGATTCATGCTACCCTGCTATGAAAGGTATAGGCGCTGACTAATAATTTAACCTTCATGGTCTTCTGACTCAACAGATAGCAGTCAACAAAAATAAGGTTTTAGGGAAGGAGAACACTGTAGTGATTTTAACGAGGTCAGCCAGTTGGACCTCATTGAATATGAGTTCCCGCATGGGGCTGTTAATCTGGTCCAATCAGAGAGTCCTGGTTGACAGATATAAACAGGAGTGTCAGACATCCTGTTCACTCTGACAGCTGGCTCTGAAGGAACTGGATCAGTGTCAAGGACTCTCCACATGTAAATAAAGGGTGACTTGGTGATGGAATACCGGCCTCCGTGGAGTTATTTCAATGGCAAGGAGAGTGGGATTAATGATGCAAACCATGCAAAAGCAACTATTAGCTGAAGCCCTACTGAACTTCAAACAGGCACTACAACTGGTTTTATCATTGGAAAATGCAGCAAATGGACCATATCAGTTGCAGGGTATTCCAATGGAAGTGGACACCCTCGCCAGTCCAACTGAGCTTAGGGAACAGCACATGAGTGAAGGCAATTGCATAGCCTCACTCAGAACAAATCCTGAACAGAGGGGGGATACCAAAAGGCCGACATAACCAGAACTGAAACCTTTTTGTAACAGAGACACCAGATCACAGTAGAGGATGGCAAATTATTATGGAGAGCAAGAGTGATTGTCCTAAGAAAAGTTCGCTGCCAGATACTGGCTGAACTCCAACAGATCTTCCAGGGTTTTCCAAATTAAGATGTTGGCAAGAAATCATGTCTTGTGGCCAGGATGAGATGCAAACATAAGCGGCGTTGGTGGGGCAATGCCCAGCGTACCAACAAGGACAGAAATTACTGCCAGCAGTGCCCCCACATTCATGGGAATGGCTGGGTAAATTCTTAACTTACATGTCGACTGTGCAGGTCCTTTCATGAGCTCAATGTTCCTAGTCATTGTGGACATCCACTTAAAGAGGCTGGTTGTGGTTAGAGTTTATATGTCAAACATGGGAACAAGAATAGAAAAACTGCACGCATGGTTTGCAATATATGGACTATAGAAGTGTTGGCCATCATTTACCAGCATGGAATTCGAGTATTTCCTGAAGTCAAATGGTATTTGACATATAAGGACAACTCCATACCATCCATCATCCAAAGGTCTGGCAGAAAGACCGGTCCAAACTTTGAAGGCAGGCTTAAAGAAAGCCTACAGCTTCACTAGATACCAAACTATCCCTGTTCCTATTTGATTATAGGACCATCCCTCAAACAAATTCAGGGACAGTTCCAGCACAGTTGCTAATGAGGAGACGACTCTGCAACAGGTTTTAGTCTGATCTTCCTGGACCTGAGGGGTGGGGAGGGGTGTAATGGCACCAGGAATGCCAATGCTGGACACAAGACTCTGCGAAGTGAGACAGACAGTTTACTTCAAGGGACGAAGTTTGATGTAGGAACCATGGGAATGACACTGCATGGGTAGGAGGCACGGTTGACGCAAGGTCAGGTCCAGTGACATACAAAGTTCAGGTAGGTGCGACAATCCTAAATAAGCACGTGGACCATATGAAAGCTGCAAACTTGCAAATGGTATGGCAGCAAAACATGTCCGGCTCATCTGTTCTGGAACCCATGGGTTCTCCCTGTCCATCAAGCATCGAAGATATCTCAGAATCTGAGATGGACATAGTGGATGTCGCTGCCTCGACAACTTTGCCATTTGAAGAAGTTTATGAATTTCTTCTGAGACCATCTGGGCGCAAGAGGTGAGCTAATGTGCATACACACTGCCCATATCAGAGGCAGATTTGGAGGAAGCCGATCCGGTGCTAAAATGTCCCAGGAGGAGCTACGATAAAAGAACCACCCTATATCCATGGACTCGGACTGGGAGGGAGGTTGTGATTGTAATGAGGTCAGCCAGGTGAACCTCATAGAACTCCTTGATTGGGGCTATTAATCTGGTCCAATCAGGGAGCCCTGACTGACAGACAACATGATGTCAGACATGCTGTTCACTCTCAGAGCTGGCTCTGAGGGAGCCGGATCAGTGTCAAGGACTCTGCATGTGTAAATAAAGGTGATTAGATAATGGGAAACCAGCCTCTGTGAAGTTATTTCAAACACCTCTAATTTTTCCCAATTGCAAGTATGATTTGGGTAACTGGATCAATTCTATACAGCAAGAGTATATACATTTTCTACCATAATTTGTTTCTACATACCTGTGTAGCCATCGTTTATAATAGAGTGGTAAAACTCCATTTGGCCCTTTGTCCTGGAAAATGTTCATCAGATTTTCAAAGATAGTGACGGTCCTAGCTATCAGTAGGTCTATTCGAAGTGTCTGCAAAACTGTTCCACTTTCTTTGTTATGTTGCTGGATGATATCATTGATGCAAATCGTGGGGTTGCTGTTGCTTACGTTGAATCCACAGCCTTTTGAAGAAAAGGACCACAATCTGTCTTACTTTGTATGAATGCAAGTGATAAACATGCACAACGTACTAGATCCTCAACAGGATAAACATCACTCAAGGGCAATTTTGGCTAGCTGAGAGGTTTAAGATGCATATGACAGTGATAATTCAATCAATTAATTAGTTAAATAGAAGAGAATTGTAAGGTCACAAGTAAAATAGCAATAATCTGTATCAAATTAACCTATATGACTGATACTTTATTTATAGCAATTCTAACTAGTCAGCATCAGCTTAGGTAACAAAAACACAATATACTGGAAATACTCAGCAGGTCTGGCAACATCAACAGAGAGGAAAATGGAGTTAAATATTTCAGGTCATTGAATACTGATGAATGGTCAATAACCTGAAATGTTAAAACCTTCTCTCCTGCCACAGCTGCCAGACCTGCCGATTATTTTTAAGAGTTATCTGTTTTTATTTCAGATATCTAATATTCATATTTTGCTTTTGTTATCAGTTTGTAAAACACACAGATCATCCAGTGACAACTGAAAGGTTTGAAGAAAATGCTCATTTTGTTTAAGTCATTGGTTTTCTTGCTTCTACTGCAAATTCCGTGAGAATAAAAGCCTTTGATTAAGTAAAACTAAGCCCAACTACAAGTTGTGTGTCAGTAATGATTTCAGGCATTCATAGTTTTTTAAAAAAAAATGACACTTTCAAAACCTGTGTCTATTGCATGAATTTGGTCAACCAGATTTACGCTTACTAAATGCATCATTTTGTAGCAAAACAACTTCAGCATTTCTGTTATTTCCATCTGTCTTGAAGAAAATAGGCAATTGGATTGGAGCTGACTAGCAGCACAAGTGATGTACATCTTATTAGACACTGAAGTGTGTGTGTTCTGCTTAGCTGATCTTTTTCAATTGTAAATACTGAAAGTTACATTACTACCTCTCCTTTAATGAGCACAGCATTTGAATGATTTATTTAAGGTCTTCAGCTCTTGTTTTATATTCCATAGTGATGGCTATGAATCTTTAGCAGTTGTGAAAGCAGCAAAAGGTTTCACATGGATCTCTCTGATCCAAAAGCTATTCAACAGCTCTGTGAACAAGAAGCTTACATAATGAAATAAAGGGCTGTTCTAGTGTCAGTCATTCATATGAGACCATCATGGCTGAGACCTAATGAAAAAACTGTTGCATGTCAAAGATGTGCTTTTTATTTCGAAGGCCCACTTATCAAATTTGGTAATGTGCAGTCAAGTTACTTGTTCAGCAAAATATAACATTTAAACAAAATTAAATTAATATTATTCTAACTTTAGTTCTAATTATTCCAAATTTATGTAAGCTATGGTGAGTGAAGCTGAAGCCAAATTGAGACAAAGCAGCTTAAAATGTGACATGGATACCTACAGTTAACAAACATGCAGGTGGATAAATCCATGGGACCTATCAGATGTACCCGAGAACTCTGTGGGAAGCTAGGGGAGTGATTACTGAGCGTCTTGCCAAGATATCTGTATCATCAATAGCCACTGGTGAGGTGCCAGAAGACTGGAGGTTGGCTAATGTGGTGCCACTATTCAAGAAAGGTGGTAAGGATAAGCTAGGGAACTATAGACCAGTGAGCCTAACATCAGTGGTGGGCAAGTTATTGGAGGGAATCCTCAGGGAGAGAATTTACATGTATTTGGAAAGACAAGGACAGATTAGGGATAGTCAACATGGCTTTGTGCGTGGGAAATCATGTCTCACTAACTTAATTGAGTTTTTTGAATAAGTAACAAAGTGGATTGATGAGGGCAGAGCGGTGAATGTGATCTTTTGTGGACTTCAGCAAGGTGTTTGATAAGGTTCTTCATGGTAGACTGATTGGCAAGGTAATCATACAGAATAGAGGGAGAACTAGCTATTTAGATACAGAACTCTTTATTCATTAACAGGATGAGGGCGTCGCTGGCTAGGCAGCATTTATTGCCCATCCCTAATTACCCAGAGGGAAGTTCAGGGTCAACCACCTTACTGTAGGTCTGGAGTCACATGTAGGCCAGACTAGCTAAGGGTGGCAGTTTACTTCATTAATGAGCCAAGATGGGTTTTTCTGACAATTGACAATGGGTTCTTCGTCATCATTAGATTCTTAATTCCAGATATTTTATTGAATTCAAATTCTGTCATGGTAGGATTTGAACCCAGATCCCCAGAGTGTTGTCTGGGTCTCTGGGTTAACAGTGGATAAAACCACTAGGCCATTGCCTGCCCTTGGCTTGAAGATAGATGACAGAGGGTGGTGGTGGAGGGTTGTTTTTCAGATTGGAGACCTGTGAACAGTGGTGTGTCACAAGGATCGGTGCGGACTCCACTGCTTTTTGTGATTTATATAAATTATTTGAATGTGAACACAGGAGGTGTGGTTAGTAAGTTTGCAGATGACACCAAAATTGGAGATTTAGTGGACAGCTAAAAAGGTTACCTTAGAGTACAATGGGATCTTGATCAGATGGGCCAATGGGCTGAGGAGTGGCAGATAGAGTTTAATTTAGATAAATATGAGGTGCTCCATTTTGGAAAGGCAAATCAGGGCAGGACTTAAACACTTAATGGTAAGGTCCTGGGGAGTGTTGTTGAACAAATACACCTTGGAGTGTCGGTTAATAATTCCTTGAAAGTAGAGTCGCAGGTAGATAGGATAGTGAAGAAGCCGTTTGGTATGCTTGCATTGGTCAGTGCATTGAGTGTAGAAGTTGGGAGGTCATGTAGCAGCTGTACAGGACATTGGTTAGGCCAACATTGGAATACTGCATGCAATTCTGGTCTCCCGGCTATAGGAACAATGTTGTGAAACTTGAAAGGATTCAGAAGAGATTTACAAGGATGTTGCTAAGGTTGAAGGGTTTGATCTATAGGCAGAGGCTTAGTAGACTGGAGCTATTTTCACTGGAGTGTCGGACACTCGGGGTGACCTCATAGAGATTTTTCAAATCATGAGGGGCATGGACAGGGTAAATAGATAAGGTATTTTCCCCGGGGTGGGGGAGTCCGAAACTAGAGGCCATAGGTTTAAGGTGAGAAGGGAAAGATTTAAAAGGGACCTTAAGGGGCAATTTTTTCATGCCGAGGGCGGTGCTTGTATGGAATGAGTTGCCAGAACAAGTGGTGGAGGCAGGTACAATTACAACATCTAAAAGGCATCTGGATGGGTAAATGAATAGGAAGGGTTTAGAGGGATATGGGCCAAATGCTGGCAAATGGGACTACAGCAGTTTAGGATATCTGGTCAGCATGGATGAATTGGACCAAAAGGTCTGTTTCAGAGCTGTATATCTCTATGACCCTCTGCACTTCATGGAATTTATCTCACTACACAGAAAAAATGAAAACACATCAGTAACAGGAGATAAATTTTGCAGGAGAAAATTCCGGATAAGAAATATTTTGCAGATCAATGAGTTCGAAAAACAGTTAGGGCCAAGTACTCTGAGGAGGTGGTGGAGTAAAAAAGTAATTAGACCATCAAAAAAAACCCTTCTAAGTACAAGATTCTAAATTGCTTCAATTTGCGTGGTGGTTTTACTGGATCTATTAATTCCATTTCAACTGGTCATTAGTTTCAAGATTCATTCCCTCAGCTTCAGATACTCTGGTTTACTAAAGGAACTAGCTACATAGAAAGTGGATGCCCTGGTAGCAATCTTCCAAAAAACATTAGATTCTAGAAGCATCCCAGGAGAATAGAAAAATGCCAATGTCACCCTGTTTTTTTTTAAAAAAGAGATGGAGACAAAATCCAAGTGTCTATAGACCAGTTAGTTTAATGTCTGTTATTGGTAAAATGTTACAGTCTATTAGAGAGGATATAATAGCACAGCATTTACAAATACATACTATGAGCAAGTACAGTCAGCATGGCTTCATGAAGGGGAAATTATGCCTGACATTGTTTTTGAAGACGTAACAAGCAGGATAGATTAAAGGGAAGCAGTGGATGTAATGCATTTAGATTTTCAGAAAGCATTTGATAAGGCACCATGCATCTGACTACTTTATAAGTTAAGAGCCTATGGTGTTGGAGGTAGTATACTCAGCATGGGTAGACATTGGTTAACTAATAGAAGGCAGGGATTTGGGATGGAGGGCATTTTCAGGATGGCAATCTGTAGCTAGTGCCACTGGGATCAGTGTTGTGACCCAAATCTTCTATAATATACATTAATGACTTTGATGAGGAAAATGAAGATGCAACTGTTAAGTTTGCAGATGACACAAAATAGGTGAGAAGGCAAGTGGTGAGGATGACAAAAAGTCTACAGGGAATACAGACAGGTTAAGCAAATGGGCAAAAACTTGGCAAATGGAATATAATGTGGAGAAATGTAAGACTATGCACTTTGGCAGGTTGAATAGAGGAGCTAAATTCTGTTTAAACAAAGGACAGAATGGAGGAATTTGGGCATCCTCGTCCATGATTCACAAAAGGCTAATATTCAAATTCTGTTTGTAACAGGGAAGGCAATTGGAATCTTGGCGTTTACTTCAAATGGAATGAAATATTAAAGTAGGGAGGTTTTGCTAAACCTGTACAAGGCACTAATCACACCACAGCTGAAAGACTGAACAGTTTTTGGGCCTCTTATCTAAGTGGAGATATACTGGTATTGAAGGTAGCCCAGAGATCATTCACTAGGCTGATGCCTGGTATAGAGGGACTACCTTACAAGGAGAGGTTCAGTAGCTTGAGCCCATACAAGATTGAAACATACAAGATTCTTAGGGGACTTGATAGGATAGATAAAGGTTACTTCCCCTTGGTCTAGGACAAGAGGCCATACTTTCAGAATACGGGATTGCACATTTAAAAGAGATGAGGTGGAATTTCTTCTCTCAAGAGGACTGTGAATCTGTGGAATTCTTTACTGAACAGGTGATGTTGAGGCTAGGTGGTTAAGTATATTCAAGGCTGAGACTGACATTTTTAATCAGGCCAGAATCAAGGATTACAGTGAAAAGGCAGAAAAGTTGAGTTTAGGACTATCAAATTAGTTGTGATCTTGTTGAATGGCAGAATATGATGGGCTGAATGGCCTACTTCTGCTCCTTTGTCTTCTGGCTTGTGTAAGTGATTCAACTATTAGGTAAAGGAGTTTTGTTTGACTATTATGGTCTCCTTTCAATGGTAGCACCTTCAGAAAAAGCCAAAGTGAACATAATGATTTAAGGACAAACTGAAACTATAGTCCATCACTTGGTTAATAAGATATTATTAGCATGACTCTTCCCTTTTTCTACAATGGTCTTGATCAGAATTGTACGATTCAGAGATAGTGGAAGAATATCATATGTAGAACCGTTCAAATTAGAGGGTATGTGTGCATGTATGTATCGAGGTTGTAGGCATACTCGCCGAGCCGGTGGGTTTGATTGCAAATGTTTTCATCACCATGCTGGGCAACATCGTCAGTGCACCTCTGGTGAAGCATCAGTGTTCTGTCCCGCTTGTTATTTATATGCCTCAGTTTGTTGAGGTGTTTGGTACCACTTTCCATTCTGTTTCTCAGTGGTTTGCACACAGGGTGTAATTCAATGTGTTTGCCGACCGAGTTCCGGTTAGAATACCAGGTCTCCAGGAATTGCCTGGCGTGTCTCTGTTTGGCTTGTGCAATTATGGATGTATTGTCCCAGTCGAATTCGTGTCCCTTGTCGTCCATGTGTAGTGAGACAAGGGAGAATTGGTCGTGTCTCTTGGTGGCTAGTTTGGTCTTCATGTATCCGTATTGTCAGTTTTCTTCTGGTTTGGCCTATGTAGTGTCTTCATAGTCTTTGCACGGTATTTTGTATATTACACCAGCTTTGCTGGTTTTAGTTGTGGGATTCTTTATGTTCATCAGTAGCTGTCATAGGGTGGTTGTTAGTTTGTGAGCTACTCTGATAACTAGGGGTCCGAGTAATCTTGTTGGCATCTCTGAAAGTCCTTGATGTAAGGTAGGGTGATTAGTGAGTCTGGTCGTGTTATGTCTTCCTGTTGTGGTCTGTCTCGGAGGAAATGGCAGATTGTGCTTTTCGGGTATCCATTCCTTTTGAAGACTCCATATTGGTGTTCCTATTCTGCTTTGCATAGTTCCGGATTGCTGCAATGTGTTATGGCTCTTTTAAGTAGTGTCCTGATGCAGCTCCATTTGTGGACTTTGGGGTGGTTGCTAGTGTAATACGGACCAGGTACCGTACGTGCGGTCTTTCTATAAACGCTAGTCTGTAGTTCCCCGTTGTTTTTGCGTTCTACCATTACGTCCAGGAAGGGTAGTCGATTGTTATTCTCTTCTTTTGTGAATTTTATCCCGGTGAGGATGTTGTTTATGTGTCGGTGGGTTTCTTCTAATTTTGTGCGTTTGATAATCACGAAGGTGTCATCTACATATCAGACTTTGGGTTGTATAGTGGGTAGCGCTGTCCGTTCTAAACTATGCATCACTGCTTCTGCAGTCAGCCCTATGGCCACAAATGGAGCTGCATCAGGACACTATTTAAAAGAGTCACAACACATTGTATAGTTCTGGCTTGCTGCAAAGCAGAACAGGAGCACCTACACAGAGTCTTCAAAAGGAATGGATACCCGAAAAACACAATCCGTCATTACCTCTGAGACAGACCACGACAGGAAGACACAACACGACCAGACTCGCTAATGACTCTACCGGACATCAAGGACTTTCAGAGATGACCACAAGGCTACTCACAACCACCCTGCAACAGCTACTGACGAACGTGAAGGATCCCATACCCAAAACCAGCAAAACGGTGTAACATACAAAATACCATGCAAGGACTGTGAGAAACACTACATAGGCCAAACTGGAAGAAAATTGACAATACTGGTACACAAACATCATTATCCACCAAGGGACATGACCAATTCTCACTTGTCTCACTACACACTGACAACAAGGGACATGAATTCGACTGGGTCAACATATCCATAATTGCACAAGCCAAACAGAGACACACCAGGGAATTCCTGGAGGCCTGGTATTCTAACCAGAACTCAGTCAACAAACACATTGAATTACACCCTGTGTGCAAACCACTGAGAAACAGAACCGGAAGTGGTACTAAAAACACCCCAACAAACTGACGCATATAAATAACAAGCGGGACAGAGCACCAACGCTTCACCGGTGGCGCATTGACAATGTTACCAAGCAGGGTGATGAAACATTTGAAACCAAACACACCAGCTCGGCGTGCAAGTCTACAATCTCATCCCGAGCTACAAATTTTCTCGAAAACTTTAAATGTATGTGATGAGTTGGTTGGCATGGGAGGACGTTTATGGAAATGGATCACAAGTTTTAGGAACTAAGGAAATAAAGCATTTTCTCCTATGTAACACATACTTAAAACATGACCTAAAATAAGAACCTGCTTCCCAGGATTCCCCTACTGACTGTTATAGCACTTAATGCTTTAGTTCAGGGAAAGGGTGGCATAGTGGCTCCGTGCTTAGCATTGCTGCCTCACAGTGCCAGGGACCTGGATTCAATTCCAGCCTTGAGTGACTGTCTGTGTGGAGTTTGCACTTTCTCCCCATGTGTGCGTAGGTTTCAGCCAGGTGCTCTAGTTTCCTTACAGAGTCCAAAGATGTGCAGGTTAGATAGATTGGTGATGCTAAATTACCCTGTAGTGTCCAGGGATGTGCAAGGTAGGTGGATTAGCCATGGTAAATGTGGATTTACAGGGTCAGGCTAGGGGGCTGGGTCTGGGTGAGATATTCTTCAGAGGGTTGGTACAGATCTGATGACTCGAATGGCCTCTTTCCACATGGTGGGGATTCTATGATTTGAATACATCTATGACAAGAAGCCACAGAGCCTGATCACAAAGTAACATTCCTTTACATGGAACAGATTCAAAACACATGACATCTGTCATGATTTTGCAGTGTAATTCTTGTTTGTTTTGCAAAAGATAAAATGGATCAGGCATAACAATAACAGATGCAACCACAGAAATTGCTAGAGAAACTCAGCAGATCTGGCAGCATCTGTGCATAGAAAGCAGTGTTAATGTTTTGGGTCCAGTGACCCTTTAAAGAAGGGGTCAAATGTTAACTCTGCTTTCTTTCCACAAATGTTGCCAGACCTGCTGAGTTTCTTCAGCAATTTTATTCCAGATTTCCAGCATCTGCAGTTCATCAGTATTTTTGTTACAGAGAACACTGTCTCCAGAAAAAAGGAGAAAATACTCCTTTAAATCAAAACTAACAGATGTACTTGCACAACACAGAATTCACAAGACCTACCTAATGGGACTAAAAATCAAACTGACAACAATAGTTGACTATATTATTTGCTGGGAAGAGATTAATCATATCACGGATGATACACCTTTTTTTTTAATTGCCATACATGCACAATTAGAAACAGAATAATTGTTAAGGTCTGATGTCTGATGATGAACAAGAATAGGAGGGGATCAGTTCTAATATCCAAGAAATCATGCAACTTACAGTGATTCTATTGTTGTTTTCTGAATGCCTCCAAATAAAATCCCGTGCACACTTTTTGTCCTGATGTAACATACCACATCTGAATTACCAGGTTAGTGATACAAATTCATTACAAACCAGAAATATTTGAATCACCGTACAAAAAAGCTTAATATTTTTATGATAAAAGCTTAATAATGACATTTGTTTTTACTTGGAAGCATGCAAACATTAAACTTGATTGGAAATAAATCTCTAAAAGATATAATAAATAGCTTTCAGTACATACCAACAAGTACATGAAAGGTTGCTCCCATCAAAGTAGAATTAACCAGGACTCCACCTAATTTCATGAGATTACTGTAGTAAATATCATTTGGCCATTTAAGCCTCAGATCAATATCCTATACAAAAAAGCAAGTGCATATTACATGACATTCATTACTCCCTTATTAGCATAATAAAATAAATGCATTATCCAAAATGGAAGCGTGAAAGTAATTCAAGAAATTCCTAATTAGTCACTTCTATTACATCACATCAATAAATTAATTTCAGGGCACTAGTGAAATGTTCAACCACTGGGTTCATCTGAATACCAAATCCTAGGATTCAATAAAAATTAAATGGCTCCTTTGTTTTATTGAGATTTTTTGTTGTTTCAGTGCAGTCACAGTTTTTCCTAAGTACTTCATAAGTGTGTGTGAATGTATCACACATACACAACAAAAGGGAAAATAATATTTTTTAAAAAAATAGGCTTCTCATTGCAGATTAAAGAAAGTTGAGCAGTGTCAAATGTTCCAGGACCCCAGTCCATACTCAATTTAACCATTCTACCTAAGATATAAGTTTCCTTCTTTTCCCCATCTCCATCAATTTATCCAGAACACAGCTGCAACTGCTTCCATAGAGGACAATAAAGATGAATATCTGATCACGTTTAGCAACTTAATGGCAAAGTATTTAATGTACAGTTTACTGTCCTGCATGCAATTTATTTGCCATAACCTGAGTTATTAATTTTCATCCACAGGCAAAATGCTATTAATATCTAAATTACAAAATGTTTACTTCAACTTTGAATCCCATGTTTTTTCTTCTTAGTTGTATATTTTGTTTGCTAAAGTTCTTTCCTGACTGACTATAGAAAATATATATTAGAATGGAGATGTAATTTAAGCTCAAAGTTTTATGCTACACTAAAAGCAGGAATTATCGCTAAAAACAAATGTTGGCATATTACCATTCCAATATAAATCACAAATTGTTTATGTATGCCAAAACACAGAATAAAATAAAGGTCACCCACATCATCTGTAAATGACACGCTATCAAATTCCAACAATACTGTCAGATGAATACCTGAACTAAAGTATTTCAAAATCTTTGTTAAAGAATGCATGACCTTCTGTTAAAAAATAGAACTTCTATAGGTATTAAATCAAAACGTGCTGTTGGCTGGTTTAATGGAATTAAGTTGCATTACCATAAGTGAATTAATTATTGAAGAAAGTGCCTTTCCAAACCACCGTCAAGAAATTGGTTTTGAGTAGGCTGCCATGGGTCTCTATCATGATTGAATGCCAAGCAAAATTGTTAAATAAAAGTGCAAACTATTGGTGCTGATGGCATCTAACCAATGCAATCTAGCTATTCATCATTTACATAATTGAGTCAAATGTCACAGATAAGTTTTCAATTCACAACATAAAACCAGCATCTCTGTGGAGTCTGCACGTTCTTCATGTGTCTGTGTGGGTTTCTTCTGGGGGCTCCAGTTTCCTCTCAAAATTCAAAGATGTGCAGATTTAAGGTGGATTGGACATGGGAAATGCAGTGTTACAGAGATAGGGAGGGGAATGGATCTGGGTGGGATGCTCTTCGAAGGTCAGTGTGTACTCGATAGGCCGAATGGCCTGCTTCCACGCTGTAGGGATTCTATGATTCTTTAAGGTTTCCTTTGAAGTAATATTGTACAATAGTACTGCACCTGAACACACAGGCACATCACGTGCACTCTATGGTATAAATTAGCTCAGTTGAGCACAAATAGATTCATGGGTATGTTTGGATGCAGGAGCAGAGGAAGCTGGGTGTATACGTGCACAAATCATTGAAAGTGGCAGATCAGGAAGACAGAGCAGTAAGTAAAGCATACAGTATCCTCAACTTTTTAAATAGGGGCTTAAAGTACAGCCAAGGAGGCAATGTTGAACTTGTATAAGACACCTGTTAGATCATAGCTGGAGTATTGTATACAGTTCTGGGTGCTATATTATAGGAAGGAAATGAATACATTGGAGAGAGTGCAGAAGCAGTTTACAAGAAGGGTTCCAGGGATGAGGTGCTTCAATTATGAGGATAGATTGAAGAAGTTGAGATTGTTCCCCTTAAAGAGAAGAGGAGATATGAGAGAGGTTTTCAAAACCATGAGCAGGCTGGATAGAGTAAATAGGGAAAACTGTTGCCACTGGTAAATGAATCAAAATCAAGACGACATTGATTAAAAAGTGATGTACAAAAGAAACAAGGATGAAGTGAGGAGTTAAGGTATGGTAGGTACTGTCTGGAAATGTGGTTGAGGCAGATTCAATTGAAGCATTCAAGAGGGCACTGGATGATAATATGGATAAAAATAATGTGCAAGGATATAGGATAAACCGATAGATTCGCTCTAGATAATGATGCTCATTTAACGAGCCAGTGCAGTCCTGATGGGCTGAATATTCAGAATAATCAGGTAGTTTACAGTGAAGTTAAAGCAGGTAGCCAGCTCTTCTACATTTCTAAATATAGCAACAAGTTAACCATTTCACAGTGGAAACAAATCAACTTATATCCATATTAAAAGCAACAGAGAACAGACACACAATTACATAATTCTCTCAGAACAGGAGAAAGGAAACATGAGAAAAATCACCTACTGGTGATCAAAATGTGGAGATTAAAAAGATAGTCAAAACACATATACCACAGTATTCAGTCTGAAGATTATTCATCATTAAATACTAAAATCAATAAGCAGTCATAATATTTTAATAGTATTGCATCTTTAGGTTGCTTAAGAACATAAATCCATCTTGCAAAGTGAGATACATTCTTAGCAGGGTGTGACACCTGATACACGCTTTAGAAAGGCTGGTCAGACCTTCCCTTGTAACAAATGCTCTCCATTCAACCTCAGAAACTCTTCAACAAATATTAACTTCATTAAGCTGGCGAGAATTGCATCTATGATGTCGACAACATTTTTGCTCCAACTCTGAAAGGCCAGTGTGACAAACTTGAAGTATTAATGGCTATCCATTATGCAAACAGAAGCAGAAGTGAAACCCAATTTAAAAATACCTCTTTGCCAATAGTACAAGTACTTATACAAATAATCTTCTCTCATTCATACCAATTTGCACATTCAACAGATCTGTTTCTCTTTAAGTTAAGTCTTTATTATGTGAAAACGTCATTAGCCTAATTTAAAACCACCTACCAATAGGACAGGCTAAATATAACAGGGAATTGCCAACACACTCCCATTTGAAGTACATCACTAGATATCAAACCTGTATTCAGAGACTGGAACACTAGTCTCTTGCTCACCACGGAAATAGAGGACTGGATTTCCTCACACATCCTCTCGTTGCTTATCTCATACTGTACTTAGTCCCAACTTATCCCCTCTCTCTTCCAATCTCTTCTCACTTTTTTGTACCTCCTGCTCCTCATGTACTGCTCTTCTCCCTATAATCCAGCTTCTCTCATGTTCCACTTTTCAATTTCCTACACTCTTCTTTCCATCTTCCCCAAATCCTCCACCTCCTTCTTTCCTTTTCCTTACCTCAACATCCACTATTCCCAAATGTTCTGCCTTCCTCCATTCATGCTCTTTATCTTCTCGTGTTTCCTTTTCCCAACTTTCACCCTTCACATCCACTCCCCTTCAACTTCCTCTCCCTACTTCGCCACCTCCTTCCTCTCCTTTCCCTCTACTATCGAACACCATTATCTGTCATCCTTCCTCCAGCATCCATGAATGTGCTTTCTATTCCTCTTTCCTTTCCTTCTAACCTACTTGACCTCAACACAGCACTTGGTTTTGACTCAAGTACAATAGCATAATAGATCATTGAGTGAACTAGCTAAACATGAAATCTCAATATTATGAGAAAGTATAATCGACAGACCTCATATCCTGGCATGGATATCACAGATTCCACTGCAGCCAGAGCCATTAAGTGCTGTACAAAAGAAATGTTGTGTCCAAGCTTAGAGTGGGTTGGAATCCTAATGTGTAGAGTAAACATAGCACAGCCTATTGGACTTAGCCATATATTTCCTCCACGGCCTAAAATTAAAACCAAAACCAGATGAAAAATGAATAAATCAAATTTAGTTTAAAAGACAAGCCATGTATAAAGAATTACAATAATAAAAATAACACAATTCATAATTGTCCTTCACATCTGAATGTCAATCCGTTCTGAAATGACAAGACTAAGCCTTTCTCTTTTCAAGTTATAAGCATCCTGTATGAGACACTTGGCCTTTCTGAGGACAGTCTTGCTGTGAATGGAAAGGTTGTGGGTTCAAGCTCCACGCCAAAGATTTCACAGCAGTACTAGGGCAGTGCTTATGGTCAATGCAGCAATCATGATGTTGAATCGAAGGTCTGATTGGTCTCTCAGTTGAATAAAATAAACTCTGTGGAACCCTTTAAAGAGCATGGGATTTAATATATTTGAACAACTTTTAACCCTCAAACACCATTAAGTAAATTATTTGATTGGTCTTTTGTTGGCTGTACTCTGCACAAATTTTTGTTTTCACTGAGGAAGATACAAGAAATCTCCCAGAACTTGAGATCTTGGTGGCTGGGTTAAATGAGGGGTTGAAGGAAATTAGCATTAGTAAGAAAATTTTACTGGAGATATTAATGAATTAATGAAATTAATGAATAATTAATGAAAGATTATAAATTACACAGTCAGAATGAGGGAGACTTCACTAGATTGAGACTGAGACAGATTGAGAAACTGGGAATTTGGGTCAAAGCAGTAATTCAAGGCAGAGGGGGCAAGAGGTGCTTTAATTAAGGCTTACTTCAAGAACTAAAGTTTTCAGAGTGAGAGGTGAGAGGGAAAGGAAATAAGGTGGAACCGAAGGTCTATACAAACTGTAGCAACAGCGGTGTGATATCATTAGTGCAGAAAAAGCACCTAATTATTGTGCAGGTTTGGTCAGTGTTTCTCATTTTTAAAGTACAAATTGTGTATTAAGCTTGTGTTTAAGTCTCTGGAACAAAAACAAAGTTGCTGGAAAAGCTCAGCAGGTCTAGCAACGTCTGTGAAGGAAAAAAACAGTGTTAACATTTTGGGTCCGGTGACCCTTCCTCAGAACTGATAGTGGCTGGGAAAACATCACTTTATATGCAGAAAATAGGGAAGTGGGTGGGGTAGGGAGAAAACGATAGGATAGAGCCCAAAGAGAGAGAAAGACAGTTGGACAGACAAAGGAGTTGCTAACGACCAGGCTGGGAGGGTGAACAGTTGTTTATGGGAGCTGTTAGTGACTAACAACACGGGGTGTATAATGGTAGGCTATGTGGTAACAAGGCCTGGTGTGTTGGGTAGGGGGCTGGGACATTGGAGAATTTAGGCCCAAAAATTATTGAACTCAATATTGAGTCCAGAGAGCTGTAGGGTCCCCAGTTGGAAAATGAGGTGTTGTTCCTCCAGCTTGCATTGGGCTTCGCTGGAACACTGCAGCAAGCCAGAGACAGAGATGTTGGCCAGGGAGCAGGGTGGTGCGTTAAAGTTTTCCCAGCCACCATCAGTTCTGAGGAAGGGTCACCGGACCCAAAACGTTAACTCTGTTTTTTTCCTTCACAGATGCTGCCAGACTTACTAAGCTTTTCCAGCAACTTTGTTTTTGTTCCTGATTTACAGCATCCGCAGTTTTCGGTTTTTATTTAAGTCTCTAGAATTTTTTTACCTTTTTCTGAGAAATGGTTTGTTACGTTTTCACAGTAAGTACATACTTATTCAAGTGTAACAAACAGTTTTTAGCAGTACAGGATGGGAGATCAGAAGGGCCAAATGGAGTGTACATCCTGCGGTAGAGTCATACACTCTGACAGTGCAGAAACAGACCCTTCGAACCAACTTGTCTACACTGACCAGGTTTCTTAAACTGAACTAGTCCCATTTCCTCCAAACCTTTCCTATTCAAGTACTGTCCAAACAGTTTATTAAATGTTGCTTTGGTACCCGCCTCGACCACATCCTCTGGCAGCTCATTCCATACACGCACCACCCTCTGTGTGAAAAAGCTGCCCCTCAGGTCCCTTTTAAATTATCCCCCTCTCACTTCAAGATTTTTGAATATCAATGGCATATAGATTATGGGGATGGGGTGGGTAAAAGATATTGAACTGTTCTATCAACCAACATCATATTGAATGGTGGGGCTGAAGGGCCTACTCCTGTTCCTATGCTCCCTAGGACCCGATAATGTACACCCCAGAATATTGAAGGAGACAGTTGATGTACTGGTGAACCAACTTCCAAAATTCAATCCATAGGAATCATTCCTAAATCTTTCGGAAGGTAGTAAATGTCACTCGACTGTTTAACAAAGGAGCAAGAGAGAAAACAGGGAACTACAGACCAGAAAGCCTGACCTCAGCAGTAGGGAAAATGCTCAAATCTATTACAAAGGATGGAGTAAATAAACACTTCGATGATAATGATCTGATTTAGTATTATTTGTATGGATATATGAATGGGAAATCATATTTGACAAACTTGGAATTTTTTGAAGATGTTACTAACAAAATTGACAAAGGAGAGTTGACAGACACGGCACAGTCAGATCTTCAGAAAGCTCTGGATAAATTACCCCCACATGAAGCTGGTTACAAAAATTAAAGCACATGCATAGAAGGTAATGCCCTGGTATGGATTAATGATTGGCCACCAGACAGAAAACAAGCTGTAGGAATAAAAGGATTATTCTCACGGTGGCAGGCAGTGACTAGGGGTGTCCACAAGGATCAGTATTTGGGCCCTGGCTGATCACAACATACATCAATGAGCTGGGGTTGAGAGCCAAAAATAATATTTCCAAATTTGCCGATGATTCAAAATTGAATAGAAATATGTGATGTGAGGAAGATGTAAAGGGGTTTCTAGAGGATTTGGACAGGCATGTAATGGACAGGTGAATATATTGTGGAAAAATGTAAAAATTATCCACTTTGGTAGGAGAAACAGGTGCACGGATTATGTCTTAAATGGTAAGAGATTGGCAAGTGTAAATATGCAAAAGAGACCCAGGTATTTCATTGATAAGCCATTGAAGGCTAACATCTATTCATTTGTGGGATGTAGGCATCATTGGCGGGCCAGCATTTCTTGTCCATCCCTAGGTGCCCTTGAAAAGGTGATGCCGAGCTGCCTTCTTGAACCGCTGCAGTCCACGAGCTGTAGATTGACCCACAATGGTAGGAGGGAGGGAATTCCAGGATTTTGACCCAACGACAGTGAAGGAACAGCAATATATTTCCAAGTCAGGATGGTGAGTGGCTTGGAGGGCAAGTTGGAGATGGTGGTGTTCCCATATGCCTGCTGCCCTTGTCCTTCTAGATGGAAGTGGTTGTGGGTTTGGAAGGTGCTGTCTTTGGTGAATTTTTTCAGTGCTTCTTGTAGATGGTACACACTGCTGCTACTGAGTGTCACTGGTGGAGGGAGTGAATGGTTGTGGATGTAGTGCCAATCAAGCGGGCTGCTTTTTCCTGGATGGTGTCAAGCTTCTTGAGTGTTGTTGGGGTTGCACTCATCCAGGCAAGTGGGGAGTATTCCATCACACTTCTGACCTGTGCCTTGTAGATGGTGGACAGGCTTTAAAGAGTCAGGAGGTGAGTTACTCTCCGCAGTATTCTTAGCTTCTGACCTGCTCTTGTAGCCACTGTATTTAAGTGGTGATTCCAATCGAGTTTCTGGTCAATGATAACCCCCAGGATGTTGATAGTGGGAGATTCAGTGATGGTAACACCATTGAATGTCAAGGGACGGTGGTTAGATTGTCTCTTATTGGTGATGGTCATAGCCTGGCATTTGTGTGGTATGAATGTCACTTGCACTTGTCAGCCCAAGCCTGGATATTGTCCAAATCTTGTTTCATTTGAACATGGACTGCTTCAGTTTCTGAGGAGTCACGAATAGTGCTGAACATTGTGCAATCATCGGCGAACATCCCCACTTCTGACCTTATGACAGAGTGAAGGTCATTGATGAAGCAGCTGAAGATGGTTGGGCCGAGGACACTACCTTGAGGAACTCCTGCACAGATGTCCTGGAGCTGAGATGATTGACCTCCCACAACCATCTTCCTATATGTCAGTTATGACTCCAACCACCAGAAAGTCTGCCCCTGGTAACCATTGATTCCAGTTTTGCGAGGGCTTCTTCATACCACGCTTGGCCGAATATCAAGGGCTGTCACTCTCACCTCACCTCTGGAATTCAGCTCTTTTCTCCATATTTGAACCAAGGCTATAATGAGATCAGGAGCTGAGAGGCCCTGGCAGAACCCAACTGTGTGTCACTGAGCAGGTTATTGCTGAGCAGGTGCTGCTTGATAGCACTGTTGATGGCACCTTCCATCACTTTCCTGATGATTGAGAATAGACTGATGGGGTGGTAATTGGCCGGGTTGGATTTGTCCTGCTTTTTGTGTACAGGACATACTTGGGCAATTTTCCACATTGTCAGGTAGATAGTGCTGTTGTAACTGTACTGGAACAGCTTGGGTAGGGGAGTGGCAAGTTCTGGAGCACAAGTCTTCAGTACTGTTGCCAGAATGTTGTCAGGGCCCGTAGCCTTTGTAGTTTCCAGTGTCTCCAACCGTTTCTTGATATAAAGTGGAGTGAATCGAGTTGGCTAAAGACTGGTATCTGTAATGCTGGGGACCACTGCAGGAGGCCAAGATGGATCATCCTCTCGGCACTTCTGGCTGAAGATTGCTGCGAATGCTTCAGCCTTATCTTTTGCACTGGTGTGCTGGGCTTCTCCATCACTGAGGATGGGGATATTTCTGCAGCTTCTTCCTCCATTGAGTTTTTAATTGTCCACCATCGTTCATGGCTGGAATGTGGCAGGACTGCAGAGGTTAGATCTGATCCGTTGGTTGTAGGATCGCTTAGCTCTGTGTATCACTTGCTGCTTTCGCTGTTTGGTGTGCAATTAGTCCTGTTTGGAGGCTTCACCAGGTTGATACCTCACCTTCAGGTATACCTGGTGGTATACCTGGTGCTGCTCCTGGCATGCCCTCCTACACTCTCCACTGAACCACGGTAGATCCCCTGGCTTGATGGCATTGGTTGAGTGGGGGATATTCTGGGTCATGAGGTTACAGATTGTGCTGCAGTACAATTCTGCTGCTGTTGATGGCCCACAGCACCTCACGGATGCCCAGTCTTGAGTTGCTAGATCTGTGCAAAGTCTGTACCACAACACGATGGAAGTTATTCTCAATGTGAAGGAGGGACTTCATCTCCACAAGGACTGTGCGATGGTCACTCTTACCGATAATGTCATGGACAGATGCAACTGCAGCAGGCAGATTAGTAAGGATGAGGTCAAGTATGTTTTTTCTTCTTGTTCATTCCCTCACCACCTGCTGCAGACTCAGTCTAGCAGCTATGTCCTTTAGGACCCAATCAGCCCAACCAGTAGTACTGCTGCTAAGCCATTGTCGCATTGGACATTGAAATCCCCCATACCAGAGTACATTTTTTGTCCTTGCCATCCTCAGTGCTTCCTCCAAGTGTTGTTCAACATGGAGGAGTACCAATTCATCAGCTGAGGGAGGACGGGACGTGGTAATCAGCAGGAGGTTTCCTTGCCCAGGAGTCGATGTTGAGGGCTCCCAGAGCAACACCCTCCTGACTGTATACCACTGCGCCACCACCTCTGCTGGGTCTGTCCTGCTGGTGAGACAGGACATATCCAGGAATGGTGATGGTAGTGTCTGGGACATTGTCTGCAAGGTATGATTCTGTGAGTATGACTATGTCAGGCTCTTGCTTAACTAGTCTGTGAGACAGCTCTCCCAATTTTGGCACTAGCCCCCAGATGTTAGTGAGGAGGATTTTACACGGTCGACAGGGCTGTTTCCGCTATTGTCTTTTCCAGTGCCTAGCTCGATGCCAGGTGATCCATCCAGTTTCACTTCTTTGAGACTTTGTAGCAATTGGTAAAACTGAACAACTTGCTGGGCTATTTCAGAGGGCAACTGAGAGTCAACCACATTGCTGTAGGTCTGGAGTCACATATAGGCCAGACCAGATGAAGGTGGCAGATTTCCTTCCCTGAAGGACATTAGTGAACTAGATGGGTTTTCCCCGATAATCGGTAATGATTTCATGGTGATCAGTAGATTCCTAATTTTCCAGCATTTTTTTTTATTATTGAATTCAAATTCCACCATCTGCCGTGGTGGGATTTGAACCTGGGTCCCCAAAACATTAGCTGGGTTTCTGGATTAACAGTCTAACGATAATACCACTAGGTCATCGCCTACCCGCTATGCGGGTGCAGCAAACTGTTAGGAAGGCTAATGGAATGTTAGCCTTTACTGCAAGAGGATTTCAGTATGGGAGACGTGGTAAGACTGCACCTGGAACACAATGTGTTGTTCTGGTGTCCTTATCTTAGCAAAGATATTATTGTCATGGAGGGAGTGCAATGCAGATTGACCAGACGCGTTCCAAGATGGCAGACTGTCTATGAAGAGACACTGGGCAAAGTGGGTCAGTATTCTCCAGAGTTTCAAATAATGAGGTGATCTCATTGAAACTTACAAAATAGAAAAGCACATGAACTGAATAGGGAAACAGTACAATAATAGGTAAAAAGTATGCTATATCATTATATCCAATTTAGTTTCCATAATAATGTGTGTACTCATGTTTGGGACAGCAAGTGTCAGATGCAGAACTCAAAGGTTTCAAATGTGTTCCCAAACATTGGAAACTATGACTATGACTATCTCATTATTACAATCATGCAGCACAGAGGAAATTCATTCAGCCCATTATGCTTGAATTGGCACTTTGAAAGAGCTATCCAATTATTCCCATTCTATTACCTTTTTTTCTAGTGCCCTTCAAACATTCTCTTTTCAAGTATATATTCAACTCATTTTTGAAAGTAATTACTGAATCAGCTTTGCCATTATTTCAGGTAGTGCATTCCAGAGCACAGAACTTGCATCATTCAAAGATATTCTCACTTCCCAATGATTCCATTTGCCAGTTACTTTAAAATGTGTCCCCTAGTTATCGACATTTTCCCCAGTGTAAACAGTTTCTACTTAATTAATCCTTCATAATTTTGAACACTTTTATCCTGATCTAAATAGAAATATCTAGGTTAAACTACACTGATGTTTACCTTTTTGAAGATTAGGAAGGAAGGATGGAAAACTACCGACCTTTGCCTTGTGTTTGTCGAATTGCAACGGCAATTAACCCTACTTCCTCTGGAAATGAAAGCATCAACCTGTGAATTATGAGAAATGCACTCAACTGAAACAGTCAATAGACATTGGAAGCTCACTAAAACCAGGACTATACCCAAAAATGTAAATTTAAGCAAAAATCGTTTTGAATTATGGTTAAATTTGGCAAATTTAGCAATTAACAAAATCACAATTACATTTTCCTAACAAATACTCACTCACTTCAAAACAAAATCCAAAACCACTGCTTAATTGGTTACCTGCAGTTTTCCTTTAAGGATGTCAAGGCCAACATTTGTTGCCCAACCCTAACTGCCCTTATACTGAGAAGTTTGTTGGGTCATTTCAAAGGGGCAGTTAGGAATCAAACAGACTGCTGTGGGTTTGGAGTTACATGTAGATCAGACCAGGTAATGATGGCAGACTTCCTTCCCTAAAGAACATTAGTTAAACAGATGGTTTTACAATTTGTTTCAATCAAGTTCATGGGACTAGATTTATATTCCAGAATTATTAATTGAATTCAAATTCCACAGGCTGCACATGATGGGTTTTGAACCAATGTTCCTGCAGCATTGCTGGGCCTCCAGATTACTGGTCCGGTGTCATTACCACTACTCTACCACCTTTATGTTATTACAGAATAATAACTGTGCAATCATTACAAGGCAATAAACCCACCCATTTAAAAACTCAACATGTACCATCAAGCACAGAGACTCTCATTGCTGCCAAAATATATCTTCTGTTAAAACAAAAGATTGTACCATCATATATCACCACAATAATATTAAAATACATGTTGAATTTCGGGGTCCAGTCTAATCTTACAGGTAGAGAGTCTAGCGCAGTGAGGAAGTAGAGTACTGTCTATAACGCGACCTGCCCTCACCTCCCATCATACGTGCAAGTTGTTAATAGATTTCTTGTCATTAAGACTGAGACTACCCAGCAGCTATGTCAGCTGCATCCCTCGTTTTAGTAGCGCACTGAAGCAAATTGTCCCTAAAGCTTCCCCTTACCCTAGCCCTAACCTATTCCTTCCAGTTTGTTGCTCATCTCCTCTCAGCTGTCTCCAAGCTTACCTTGTCCATGACAGCCACCTGTTGCCTTGATCCTATTCCTACTAAACTGATTTCCCTTCTTGGTCCCAAGGGAGCCAATGTTTATAATGGTTCTCTCTCTTCAGATGTTCTCCCTTTCTCCTCTAAATCTGACATCATCGTCTTTTTGTTCATAAAAGTCCCCACTATCCTCACAAAGTATTGATCAATCTCCAATCTGCCCTTCCTCTCCAAAGTACTTGAATATCACCTTGCAAATCCATACCTATCTTACCCAGAACCCTGTGTTTTGGATTCCTTTAATCAGCTTTCCCCTGCCACAGTTCCTAAGCAGCTCATATCAGTCACAAATGACAGCCTGTGAGACCGTAACAATGCAAACTTCCGTCCTTGTCCTTCCAAATATGTCTGCAGCCTTTAACACAGTTGACCACGCCATCCTCATTTGACATCTATGCACTATCATCTAACTGGGTGACAGCGCTCGCTCCTTGTTCCATTATCTACCTAATTGCATTCACAGCATCACTAACAAAGACTTCCCTTTCTGCTCCACACAGTTATCACTGTGCCTCAAGGATCTATCCTTGGTCTGCTCATATTTCTCATCTACATGTTATCCCCTCAATAACATCACCCAAAAACACAGCATTAGTTTCCACATGATCATTGACAACGGCAGCGCCAACCTGTTACCACCTTTCTTGGCTCCTCCATTGCTGATAAATTAGCAGACTGTTTTCCCAACATCCAATACTGGATAAGCAGAAGATTTTCCAGTTAAAAATTAGAAAGACTGAAATTACGATTTTCAGTCCAGTCTCCAAATCCTCCTCCATGGCAACTGGCTCCACCCTTCTCCTTAGTAATAATCTGAAACTAAGATCGAATTTTCATATCGTATTTGATCCCTAGATGAGCTTCTACATTCATAGCATCACTAAAACTACCTATTTGCAGCTCAAAAACATCGTGCAACTTCACCTCCATCTCAATGAATGTCTTCATCATCTCTGGATTCAAGTAGTCCAATGACCTCCTGGCTAGTCTCCCACGTTTTCCTACCTGTAAACTAAAGGGCATTCAAAACTCTGCTACCTTCATCTCACCTTGCAACAGGTCACATTCACCCATCATTGCTACACTGCTCCCCAGTCAAGTAATATCCTTGTTTTAAAATTCTGACCCCTATTTTGAAATCCTTCCATGGCCTTGCTTGTCTCTGCCTCAAAAGTTTCAAACAGCTTCACAATTTTCCAAGATAACTGTCCTCCTCTAATTCTGGACTTTTGAACATCCTCAATTCTAATTACTTTACTATTGGTAGCCACACCCTCTGTTACCTAAGCCCTAACCTTTAGAATTTCCTCCTTTCCAATATTGCCTCTTTTACCTCAACTTTTGATCATCTGCCCAAATATCTGCTTAGGTTGCTTATGTCATATTTTGTTTCATAATCTCCTTGTTAAAGATACTATATAAATTGTTGTTCAATGCAATACCAAATTTTGAAACTGATACAGTATCGTATCACATTTAAAGATGCAAAAGAGTTTCATATGATGAGACAGTTCAAGTGCAGAAACTGATTTCTTTTTGCATAACAACAAAGAAATTAATGACCATGTAATCATAAACCTAAAAAATTTATTATTTTTCATTGGAGTATCAGCTGTTACAGGAAACATTAATGTTCATGGTTGCCAAGTGGTTGTAATTTGAATTTTCGAATTGGGAGAGACAAAGCAGAGGCCCAGGCCATTGTTGCAGCTCCAAATTTTGGCCACTAATTTGGGTAGTGATTCTTCAGATTATTGTGACATCCCTATGTCCCCAACACGATTTAGGGCTACATGCTCATAGTCCTGTAATGTTCAAAGGCGCTGGTGCAAAGAAAGACCAACTCTTATAAGACAATGGCCAACAGTTGAGAATAATGACTTTCTCATACTATTTTGCTGGATGTGTCATCACTGTAAATCCGTCCCAAGAATTTCTTTGCAAAATTTAGGCCATATAACATATGAATGATCACTTAATTTCAAGTAGGAAAATAATGGTGTTCTGTAGCTATTTAGCATTCCTTGCCCATCCTTTCTTCCCACCCTTGGGCCTTCATCAAGGCAAGAGAGTTTTTACTTGTGCACATTACCTAGACCTACAAACGAGTGTACTCTTCTATCATGAACATAAAATCAAGTACTGCTTCTTTATGCTGCCTGAAATATCAAGGTTCTCACACAGCCAGATAGTTCCTCAACTGTAATTGGCTTAACTCAGTAATCTGATATTCATTGATATTCTTTAATTGTCAATTAAGGTAAATCTCATTCACAATCTATTTCATTTGTCAGGTCAGACAAGGCTGTTACAAATGTTCTTAAATAGATGTCAGTAAAGATAGCTTTGTGCTGAGAAGTTACATGGATAGAAATTGGATTATTATTTCACACAAAACTAGTATACAAACATACAAATCAGAAGTAGGAATAGGTTAAACACCTCCTCCAATCTGCTCCACTATTCAATAAGACCATGGCTGCTATGATTGTGCCTTCAAGTCCACATCACTGCTTATCCCAATAACCTTTTGCCCCATGGCTTATCAAGAACTAATCTACCACTGCCTTGAAAATACTTAGAGGCTCAGCCTCTATTCCCTTTCCAGGATTAGAGTTTCATAGACTCACAACCCTCCCAGACTGTCTTAAATGAGGGGCTCCCTTACTTTTAAGCAATGATCCCTAGATGCAGATTCTCCCACAAGACAAAAAATCCTTTCAACATCCATCCTCTCAAGACCCCTTATGATCTTAGATGTTTCAATCATGTCATTACTTACTCTCCTAAACTCCGGGGAATAATGCCTTGTCTTTTCCAATCTATCCGTATTAGACAACTTTATTAGTTTATTAGTCTAATAAACTACCCAAACTTGCTTCCAATGCAGAGATAGCAAGAACTGCAGATGCTGGAGTCAGAGATAACAAAGTGTGGAGCTGGAGGAACACAGCAGGCCAGCATCAGAGGAGCAGAAAGTTGACGTTTCAGGTTGGGACTCTTCTTCAGATGCACTTGCATTTTTCCTTATATGAGGAAACCAATAAATTACAGGGTAATCCAGATGTGATCTCATCAATGTCCTGTACAACAGAAGCATAACATCCCTTACTTTCGTACTCAAGTCCCCTTGCAATAAATGTTAATATTCTATTTGCTCTCCAAATAACTTGTTGTACCGCCTTGTGTGTGATGTTCTGGGTTCCCCAATTGTTGAGCATGTGAATATTTGTAGATTGTCCACCAACATTCTCAAGTAGAAATGGCATGGCTGCTGAACTTAGATCTGATCCACTGATTGCGGGCCAGCTTAAATCTGTCTATTGCATGTTGCTTCAGCAGTTTGGCATGCAAGTCCTTTGTTTGAATGTATCAATTTAGTGTATTCTGAAATATCACCTTCCACATCTGTCACTGTATCTTTGTTCAATTCCCTTAACCTAATTTGTCAGTTCACTTCAGTGATCTGTTTCTATGTCTGCATGAGTTGAAAAGTTTTGAACCCACTCTTCTTTCCTTCAAACTTCTTGGCTCCAAGAAAGGTTGTTCTAAGAAATTATCCCAAAACATTCCATGAACTCATCATCCATGATCCCTTTGCCTATCTGATTTTTCCTATTGAGTGTACATTGAAAGCTACAATTGAAATTATAGACGAAATTATTGTGGGACCTTGATAAACTCTCATTGTCTCCTCCCATATACTCAGTCTTACCACATGGTTAGTTTTAGGGGGGCTGCACACCACTCCCACAGGTGATGCCTTGCCAACATAATTTCTACCAAAAACATTTCTCTATCCTAGTTTCCTGAACTTAGGTAATTGCTCTCTAATCTGCTAACCCATCATAGCGAAGATGTTAGAACCGATTATTAAAGATAGTATAACAGAGCACTTCGAACTTTTCTAATTAATC